CCCCAAAACCCCAAAACCCCAAAACCCCAAAACCCCTGGAGGGAGGGATTATATAGAAATAATTGATAATATGAATATAAGTAAGCTTTAAGGACGAGGATGTTGTTCAGAGGTTAATAAGGATGTATAGATTATACCCCGATTGTTATCTTGACTAGTAAGAAACTTAAAGGTATGTGGGAGGTTAAGTGTTTAGAAAAAGAAAGACTACAGACTCAGGAAGAGCATGAACAATTGAAAACCACTAGTAATTCTGCATTTTTGAAGGATAAAGAGGAATTAAGAAATATCTATCCTAAAAAGGTAATCCTAGAATGTAATTTTGTCATAGGATGTGGCAATATAAGCCAAGGAACTCAGTCCTCAATGAGGTCAATGTCTGCGCAATTTAATTATTCTCCGTCAAAATCTATTTCCCCTGCAAAACACAATTCTAAAATAATGAGCATGAACCAGGTGACAAGGTTCAGGATAAGCAGACGCAATAAGGATTATATTAACATCGACGGGTCTGTGATTAGCTCTAAATCCCATTACTCTAGTATGAAGAATACGAGAAAAAGATTAGCAAAGAAGAAAGGCATGGTTAAAAACCTTTCTTGCCATAACCCCCTGAGATACTTCCATAGTAAGGATATGTGTTTATCATAGACTACAAGCTGAGTAAAACCAGATATGGAGATGATTCTGATTACCCTAATGATTTTAATGAAACTCGACTTTTTAATTTCTCCACACTTAAATACGATTCAAAGAGGAAATCTCAACTTAAGAGAAAATTAAGCAGCAAAAATAAATCTGTGTTTAATTATTCTGCAAGGAGACAAAGCACCTACAGGAAAAGAGAAAGCTTTTCAGCTGCAAAAAATGAAACCAATCATACTCAAGACAGTCACTCTATGACAGTATCTCCGTTGATTAAATAACATCAATAATTCCAGTACTATCGGCCCAAAGACTAGACATAGAATTAAAGTCAAATTTCCTACTTCTAACCGCCTCACCCAAGAAGACTCTTCAGTTAGCATAAGAGAATCTCAAGAAGTCAACGCCTCTGCAGAAAGCTTACTTAAAAACAAAAATAATGAGCCAAGAGTTGAAGATTCAATCCAAGATTCTGATTATGTAGACCTAAAACATCGATACAACACATTCGAGGGTAATCCACAATAAATTTTCATATATTTTTCCATATTTACGATAATTTTAGATAAAAGATCTTCTAAAAACACAGCTCCACAGCAGAAGATCATGGACATAATCGTCCCTTTCTGATCTGCAAAGGTGACTCTCAAGAAGAGATGCACCTCATGTACGCCCTTCCCTCACCTCTATAGCCCCCAATGCCGATGATCCGCCCCCATCTAGCACCAAGGCCCCCTCCAACACCGTGGTTGTCAGAAAAAGCATGCTTGACCCTCGTTGTAAACTCAAAAAGAAGCTTATTCCTCACTCACATTCAAAGTCCCCATACAGCAGCCTTCGTGGCCATATTACTAAGAAAGCTAGAAATTTAGCCCACTCCGCTTACAAACTCCAAGAATCCCAGAACAAAGACCTCTTCAAAATCCTTCAGTGGAAAAGACTCACTTAGTTTCAATAACATTCCTTAATTTTGGGGTTTTGGGGTTTTGGGGTTTTGGGGTTTTGGGG